CTGTCCATCTGTCTACCTGTCTGTCGGTCCATCTGTCTACCTGTCCAATGGTCCACCTGTCCATCTGTCTACCTGTCTGTTGGTCCACCTGTCCATCTGTCTACAGCAGCTTCTACTTCGGCTTCATGGAGGACAGCGGCTACATTAACGGTCTGGTGATGGGGTGAGTTTGTCTCTTTAATTTCTCGTCAGTGTCTCTGATTGGACGCCTGTGAGTCATTAGCCTTCCTCTCGTTGTCATCAGTGAGGTCATCGTGCCGTCCTTCATCATTGTCAATCTCTCCAATGACGGATATTTCCTGCCACTGGGCGCTGTGGAGACAGAGCGCCACCTGCTGGACTTCATGGATGGAGTACTGGATGGCAGCGTGGAGGTAAGTGAGGACAGATTCACCTGGTCTCTGTGTGTCTGTCCGTCTGTCCGTCTGACTGTCTGACTGTCTGACTGTCTGTGTCTCAGATTCAGGGAGGAAACAGCATCACTCAGCGGTTCAGACGCTTCTTCTATGACGCCAAAGTCACGGTAACGGTAAGTGATGTCATCAGCTTGCCAACTGTCTTCTGACCATCTGTCCTTTCTGTCTTCTGTCCGTCTGACCATCTGTCCTCTCTGTCTTCTGTCCATCCAGCCGATCTTCACCAAGGCTCCGCTGCTCGGCTGCTTCCTCTTCGGTGTCCCACTCGTCATCGGCGCTGCTCTCTGTTTTGTCTGCTGTAAGGGCCGAAACTCCGCGGATGATGATGACGATGATGGCGTTGCACTATTAGCTCCATCTCTGCAGCAACGCAAAAAGTCAAGTGACAAGAAGTCAGACTGAGGACAAGGACGGAGACGGATCCAGACTTCTGTCCATAACCGTCGGCACCTGTGTCTGTTTCACCAGCAGCAGCCAGAGAGATTTTTAAAGTTATTTTGGGTTTGCTGTGATACTTGAGTCGACTGAATTTACAGGAAAACATCAAAGCAAATGTGACAAGTTGTTAATTCCCATTTGTGAACCAGTAACTCACCTGTCAGGTAACTCTGCTGCAACCTGTAGCATCATTTCAATCTCAGGTACAGAAATAAAGAAGAAGAAAATAAAGAAGTGTGTAGAAACCCCTGGTGTCTCTGAACCTCTGGCGGTACCTGCTGTTCTATCTGGTCCTGCAGTGTTATTGTAGAACAGTCTGATGTTCCTCAGTAGCTACAAGAGGAGAAAATGTTCTGCATCATTTGTATTACTCGAAACCAATCACAATCATTGGGGGCGGGGCTAAAAACAGGCTCCAGCAACAGTTTCTTACCCAAAACAGTGACGGATGAATTCTTGTGGTGGAACATTTACAGGCAGAGACATGAGAACTGACACTAAAATGGATAATTTACAGAAATAACCAATGAGGGTACTGCACAAACTAAAAGTCAAGCTAACTTTCAGGCTCAATGTCAGGATAAGAGTTGGGACTGTTGCTAGGACTTGTTGCTTATCCAGAGTTCCTGTAACTGTGACCACAGTTATCACAGAGTTTTCTGGTCTTACTGACTGTTTGAATGTTTTTCCACCATTAAGTGACTTTTTTTTTTTTTTTTTACTTTTCTGTGGTCAGAAACAACAAATACAGCATTTTACAAGTAACTGATTTAGGTTTTTTCAATCATGTCTTTTAACNAGAGGGTAGATGTAGGGTTAGAGGGTAGATGTAAAGTTAGAGGGTAGATGTAGAGTTAGAGGACAGATGCAGACCAGCTGTAGTACCTGGTTGTTCCACCAGGTGGAGCCTCTACCTGCTTAACCCTGTGGAGAACAGAGGAGGTGTCACTCAGACTACAGGTCATGGAGGCAGCAGAGAGCATTGTGGGAGTTTAGCAGCAACGGGACCATGACAGAGACTCTGAGGAGGACTGTAATGTACTTGACCTGTATGACATCAGCATAAATGATACTGATTCGGTATTGAGAAATGAAAGATACTGAAAACAATCAATGTTTGGAAAAAATATATTACAGCCTTGATCTGGTTGAAGTCATTTTTCATTTAGTATCTGCTAGTACCTGATTCCATAATATGCATCTGAAGTATTGTGGATCAGCTATAGTACCTTGCTGTTCCACTAGGTGGAGCTGCTTACTGTTTAATACTGTAGAGACCATGATAGGAGGTTACTTTGGTGTTAGCAGGCAGAGTGTACTGTGGAAGCTTCGATAGTAAAGAGGAGCCATGATAATATGGTCTGTGAGGCTTCATGACGTGTCGACGCTGTGGCACCGTTATATTGGTAGCTTATGAATTGCTTGTTTTCACAGTGTGACGCATAAAAACTTAGCTGAATTTATAGTGTTATTCATCAGTTACTGATCGTTACTGCTGCACTTATTAGGTAAATTAATGAAATTCATGACAGCTGGGCGCGCTTATGGCTCACCTGGTTGAGCGGGCGACCCATGAGTTCGATTCCCGCTGGTCTCGCTCCGTTCTTCCTGTCTCACTCTCTCACTGTCCTGAATAATAAACGCCAAAAAAATAATCTTTAAAAAAAAGAAATTCACCACAGCTGTGTGACAGCGGATGTAAATTTAGGACTGGGGGAAGGTTCCTGCCGATACTGAATATTAAATGGTTCAGATCAGTTCAGGGCAAAAAAAAAAAAAAAAGAAACTTGATGAGGATGAGTTTTAAAGCAGACCATGTTCAGAGCTGCAGAGCTCAGAGGAGAAGAGCTGCTGGTGGAGACGAAGATCTCATGTGTCTCCCTGCAACATGATCAAACATCTCATGTGGTCTTAAATCAGCTGTTTCTTCAGTGGACTCTGGTTGGTTCTGTGTCCTGCTGAGACTCTGTGTTTTCTGTCCAGATGTGATGACCTCAAACGGTTTCTGTCTGGCGAACAGCGAAACCATCCTGTTTGACTTGACTCCACCCACACAGGAAGTCCCGACCCAATCAGACGACTCCACGGGCCGGCGGTGAGCTGTCAGTCAATTCCATGTCTATGTCATCACTGAACGTTACTCAGTGTGTCATGTTCAGGTACGCTCAGGTCTGCTCAGGTACGTTCAGGTACGTTCAGGTCTGCTCAGGTNCCCTCTCAGCACGCTGCGCTCTGATTGGACTGTTGAGACGATCTCACAGGTGGCCAGAGGCTCTGATTGTGTTTTTTTTACGTCTTTTTTTAACCTCAAATAAAAGATGTTTGTCAGTTTGTTCATGTGATGCTGCTTTTAGAGGCCCCTGACTCCAGACAGTCCAAAGAGAAGCAGCTGTCACCATGGTAACACTGACAGAGGATGTAAATAAAGTAATTCAGTGAGTTGTCAGTCAGCGCCACACGGATCATACAGCTTGTGTGATGGAGGTTGATCAGAACTGACCAGCCACCATCACACATGCTGACATGAGCCTGGAGAGTTTACCCAGAATGCACTTTGTAAAGTTTCCTCTGGTGAATGATCAGAACCAGAACCACATCAACTCTGGTCAGTAGATAAAGGTTCTGCAGATACAGAACCAGATGTTCTGAAAAGGTTCTGAAGGAACTTTGTTCAGGTTTGGTTGGTTTTAACAAACAGTAATGTAATTTAATGCCTGTGTTGCTGTTTGTGGTAACAAACAGCCTGAGCTGCTGATTGGCTGACCTGCTGACCCCCGCCCCCTCCCACAGACCCCCCTTAGGGCAGAGTAATGAGGTTAATCAGCTTGTGCAGGATAATCCATCCCACACACTGAACCGGGTTAACCAACTGACAGCGTCTCCATGGCAACACACAAGTAACCAACCCTCACATGAAGCTTGATCTTGATTATAAAAAGTCACCTCAGCAAAAACTTCCGTCTCTGAATCGGTTTAATCCTCAACAGACATGTGGAGCCCTAAACAGGAGGCTTCCTGAATGACTCAGCAGCATCTGATTGGAGCAGAGCTCAAGTCCTGCAGGTGTTTGAACTGTTCTTCATGTGCAGAGTTCTGGAGGCTTCTGTCACTCAGTGATGAAGTCCAACATTTCAAGCACAAAGTTCTGTGTTAACATTCAGCGTGTGCAGGAATCATGTGGAGACGATCACGTGACGCGTCAGGAAACTTCAGCAAGTCGAAGCCTGACATCGTGATACTTAATCAAAGACATTGTTCTAAATGTCTTGTTCAAAAATTATTGGCTATTAGATTCTGTAGAACAAGGAACCTTCCTCCTCCTGGTTCTGATCCTGTAGAACCAGAACCTTCCTCCTCCTGGTTCTGATCCTNGGTGTCCTCACCAGGACGCCAACCACCGACCTTCTAGCTGTGAGGCCACGGTGCTAACCACAGCGCCACCTTTGTCTCTGTCAGTGTGGAAATCTGTAAACAACTTGATAAGTTGGATTTTCATTCTACAGAAGTTAGAGAAGAAGAACAGTGAGTCAAGTCCCTTTATTTATAGAACACATTTAAATTGACTCTGAGCCAAAGTGCTTTCAGTAGAGAATAAGATTATGATCACATCAAGAAAAACATTAGGGTTCGGAACTTACATGTTAATTTACCATACAAATTTAAATATTAATATGAAGTCCCCACACACGATCTGCTCAGTCTGTCTTATACATTTGTAGAGAAGCGCAGATCTGTGCTGCCTGTAGGGGGCAGCGTTGCGCTCCACAGTGAAGCCTGAAGAAGAAGAGCGGTGGTGCTAACAGCTAACGGCTAACAGCAGTGTGATAACGGACCGTCCTGTCGGGAGCAGATACACCGACTAGCAGCGGGCCGACACCGGACCGACACCGAAACTTTCTCTAATGTCGCTGCTGAACTGAAGAAGCTTCTGGAAGCTGCTCGTGAACGCGCACGGTCTCCATGGCTACGGAGGAGTTGTACGAGGTGACGCGACCTGATGCTAACATGCTAACGGTGGCTAGCGGCTGAGAGTTGGTTAAGTTAGTGAAGTTGACGCGCTGCGGCCGCTGAACTGAAGAAAAGTCACAGAAAGCGGTTAGTTAGCAGCTGGTTGACTCGTTTAAGCGAATCAGAGTGTGGCAGGTGGAGGACTTGAACCCGGATAAAGATTACAGACTGATTTAGCTTCTGGAACTAGCACTATAGGTAGCTCTCATTAGCTCCCATTAGCTCCTGCTAGCTCCTGTTAGCTCGTGTTAGCTCCCCGTTAGCTCCCATTAGCTAGCTCGGTGCTTCAGTCCGGAGGATGCTGGCTGATGAAACGCTTCTCAGTCTGACCGACTTCAGGCGGATTTCTGATGATTGTGTTGAAATGTTTTCGGGCTCAGAGACCGAAGAGAAACTTCGTCTTTAAAGTTTGACCAAACTTTGAGCAGGTTTTAATCACTGAGCTGGGTGGATAACTAACTGCTGCCACTCAACTAATTTACTGGTTAGTCGATTAATCGAAGTGATTCGGTTCCTCCAAAAAGAAAAATTACTCTTTTGTCTAAATTTAAGTTATTGAGACAAACCGTGCGACTCATTGAAGCAGTTCAGTGTTAAATGGAAACAGAGGTTTATATTAAAAACTGGAGAATAAAACAATACAGAAGAAGGATCAATATTTAAATCAGAAATCTACGTTTCTTTTAAAGGCCTCAACAAAGTGCTAAATTTCAGTGTGAATATTAAGCTATAAAATATTAAAGGTCAACGTGGATATTTTACTTCTCAGAGCAGCTAAAGAAACTCTTTTCTCCTTATTGTGTGATGGTTCTCTGATTTTAGCAGACGGCTGAGTTCTTGTTGATGCAGCTGAATTCAGACGTCGTCTTTAACTTGGCTTTGTTGTCGGACGACGTTTTAAAGTCAGTGTTTTGAATGAAGTGGCTGCTGGTTAACGTGCCGTCTGAATGCCTCTCAGTCACTGTGTCATCCTGATTTTGCTGCCTGACAACAGAAACACCTGTAACTCAGGACCTCTGTGTTAAAGTGCAGTCTATGTGAGCACAGAGAGCAGGAGAGAAGCGAACTGCTGGAAGCTGCTGCTACGTTCTGACACCAAACCGTCTTTATGTTCAGGTTCATTTATGGAAATGTTTACACTGAACCCAGTCAACATTTTAAAAACTGTTGGAGCCAAAAACCACTGACATCATGACACGTCACACATCTGACTTTGTTATCCTGAGTTTACCTGTGCAGGTTGAACCTGAGTTTATTGATCGAAGATGGTTGTGTTGATGAAAACACAAAGTCACTCTCACCTACGCTATTGAACAAACGATGCAGAAACAGACAGTGCCTAGCTGCTTCTAACTTATTATTTTGCATACAGTCATTAAATGAAAATTAAACAAAAAAACTTCAGTGCCACTTATATGACAGTACCCACCTTTAAATGGCAGACAATAATGGAATGTAATAGATGTTTACAGATTATCACCTGAAGAATAACAGAAAGAATACCATAATTATATTAAAGATTGTATTGAAATAAATTCTCTTTGACAATTAATTGGTAGTGACGTTACCATAACGTACGTGTAACCTGAGAAAAATCTGTTGTAAAACAAAATAAGTCGACATTATTTACAGCTGTGGCCTGTGTTTTTTTAAATCATGTAAATGCTTTTTGCAAAGTGCTGCTCAAAGTGAATCCAAACTAGACTTTGGTTTTGTTGTGCGTTCTAAAGTCTCCACCTCATTGTGTGAACTGACATGTGGTGAACTGGCGTCTAATTAATAAAACTGAATTGAATTTATTTATTTATTTTTTGACACTTGATTTTTATTAAGCAAGTTTCCAAGAGAAAGTCTACATTCATCACAATATCAGAGTATGAGTAAAAAAGATCAACACAATCGAAGTACAAAATAAAACAACATGGTGACATGGGACTGGCCTCTGTTACAAATGTGTGCAGCATCGCCCTGATCTCTGTTAAATATCTGTGGTGTCATTTCCTCTTGTTTTTATATTCTACCCATTTTTCCCACTTTGACTGAAGCTTCTCCTGCTGTATCCTCAATATATGTGTTCATCTCTCCATGTGAAATGTTTCCTCCACTGTTCTTAACCATTGCTCCTGTGTAGGTGGCTCAGCGTTGTGCCACTCTCCTGTTATGGCCTTCTTGCTGGCTGCTAGCAGCGCCTTTACCAGATATCTGTCCTGATGTTGAGTGTTTTCTTCTGTTAGATTCCCCAGGTACAATACAGAGCCAATCCTGGGTACCTCATGGCCTAATACCTCCTTTAATACTCCCCATACTCCCTCCCAATATTCCTCCAGCTTTGGGCATTTCCAAAATATGTGCACATGATCCACCCCGTCCTGTCCACATGATCTCCAGCAACTGCTCTGTTTTGGTGCATATCTCCCTTTTGTCTTTGGGGTGATAAAGAATCTAATTATGTTCTTCCAACCATTCTTCCTCTGTCATCTCAATTTCAAATTCTCTGTCCCATTTTTCTTTTCTGTACAGTGTTGGATTCCCCCTCCTGTTCAGCATAGCCTGCTATAATACTGACACCACTCTACTCATCTTCCCTTTATATGCACCAATTAATACCGTGATTACTCCATTCGGCTCTTTGGTCTTCTCTATTTTTATTGCCCTTATATAATAGTCCCTAGCCTGTAAATATCTGGAATAATCAGTTCTTTCAATATGACTGAATTGAATTGAATTAGTATTTGTGTTTGTGGTTTTGTTAATTATAGCTGTATTTTATTTTGTAATTCAAAACGGAAAATATTTCAAACCTGTGACTTGTGAATAGCATGTGTAGAGAATGTACACAGACTGTGAATCTGTGACCTGCAGGTGGAGCGCATCGTGGACAAGAGGAAGAACAAGAAGGGGAAGGTGGAGTACCTGGTCAGGTGGAGAGGTTACAGCTCAGAGGGGGACACGTGGGAGCCAGAGACACACCTGTCCACCTGCATGATCTACGTCCACGAGTTTAACCGTCAGTACGCCGAGCGGCAGAGAGACGCCACGCTGCTGCGCTCCACCCGCAGCTCGCCCAGCCTCTACTGTAGCCCCGCCCACAGGCCACCCTGCAGGCCGCCGCCCACTGCCCGCAGTGACATCAGCCCAGGTGTAGCTGGAGACGGTAACCAGGTGAAAGCTCCACTTGGCCTCCACCTGTCCCCCCCCGGACCGCCCCGCCCCGCCACCGTCGGCTCCCAACAGCCCCCGGACAGGTTCAGCAGCAGCCTGATGTCGGCGTCTCCGGCCAGCTCTGCCCGCCGCAGCGTAGATCTGTCCAAGACCGGCATCAAGATTCTAGTTCCAAAGAGTCCGATGAACAGCCGGCTGGACTCGGAGGAGTCTCCCAGTGAGGCAGCTCACAGCCTGGAGGCCGGAGCTCAGGAAGCTCACCTGGTTCCACCTGAGGTCGCCCTGCTGGAGAAACCTGCAGGAGTCCAGCTGGGGCCCGGAGAGGAGAGGGCCCGCATGGGGACCCGACCGCGAAGCCAGAACCCCCTGCCGCCGCCCCGAGCCCCCATCACCCCCGCTGCCATGCGCTCCCTCAGCGGCACAGGTGAGTTCTACTTTTTGTTCAGGTCCAACATGGTGGCAATTCTAAACCAGAGCTGCATCAATTAATGGATGAGTTGATTTGTTGTCAACATTTAAACTGTTAACTATGAATGCAATCAGCTGGCAGAGACACTGGATTGATTTTTATTACTTTAACATCCTAAAAGGTTGTATTATCAGGAAAATGAAGTCAGCAGATACTATATATTAAATGACTGGATCTTGAAACATTCCTGGTTGCATTTCCCATCGTGGCGTTCTGAGGATCTGCGTTCTGTCTCCTAAAGGAAACTCGGCGCTGATGGAGGCCGTCGCGGCCAGCGGGATGTCGGGTTTGCAAAGCACTGTTGCTGGGGCAACCAGTGTGACAGGGAAACGCCGTCTAGAGGAAAGAACAGCATTCGACAAACGTCTGAGGTTCAGTGTGCGACAAACGGAGAGCGCCTACCGTTACCGCGACATCGTGGTAAAGAAACAAGATGGCTTCACCCACATCCTGCTGTCCACCAAGAGTTCTGACAACAACACCCTCAACCCCGAGGTGAGGCCCCGCCCAATGAATCAGGCCTGCTAAACAAGTCAGACCCCGCCTAATGAGTCAGGCTCCGCCCAACAGTTTAGGCCCCGCCCATCGAGTCCAGCCCCACCTAATGAGTCAGGCCTGTTCAAAGAGTAAGACCCCACCTAGTGGGTTAGGCTCCGCCCAACGAGTCAGACCCTGCCCCTAGCTTCACACGTTGGACCCCGCTCCCACTGAAAGCACCACACTTAGAGACTGCGACATCACCTGTCCAAACACCTGATCACCTGGACTTTCTCCTTCCTGTCAGGTGATGAAGGAGATCCAGAGCGCCATGGCAACGGCAGCATCAGACGACAGTAAGCTGGTGTTACTTGGTGCCGTTGGCAGCGTCTTCTGCTGTGGCCTCGACTTCCTGTATTTTATCAGACGCCTGACGGACGACAGGAAGAAGGAGAGCATCAAGATGGCCGAGACCATCAGGTAACGCTACCGGAGAGAGGCGGTGGTGCTGTGATGTCAGCAGTAAGTAGGAAGCGCTGACCTCTGACCTCCTCTTCCTCAGAACCTTCGTCAACACCTTCATTCAGTTCAGGAAGCCGATTGTGGCGGCGGTGAATGGGCCAGCAGTCGGCCTGGGGGCGGCCATCTTGCCGCTCTGCGACGTGGTGTGGGCCAATGAGAAGGCCTGGTTCCAGACGCCGTACACGTCCTACGGCCAGACGCCCGACGCCTGCTCCTCCTTCACCTTCCCCCGCATCATGGGGCTCGCCTCGGTCAGTGCTGCTGTCACCGCCATGTTCACTTCCCACCTCCTCCTCACCCCTTCATCCTCCTCACCCTTCATCCTCCTCACCC